AAAGGAAAAGTATAATTAAACAAGTTAGAGTGCTATATTCGGCTGAGCCGAATCTTAAATACCCTCCACCAGCAACTTTTGTATTAATACATTTCTAATTAATAAAATATTTGTAGAAATAAGTTTTCTCATGTCTTAAATAGAAAAATCCCAAGATTTAAACAGCTTAAATCTACTACAATTCCAAGATTTATTGAACATTAGAAACGCCACTTTCATTTAAATTTTTATAGCGCCTTAAGATATGCTTTATCGATATCTCGTATTTGCATGTATGCATGTGTGTGAAAGATTTAAGGATTTTAAAAATACATACATATATATAATTTTATTCTACACAAATTGATAATGCAAATAGTTAAATACGGTTAAAGCGCTTTTAGGGGCAGAACCTAGTATGAGAGATATGACCAAATATAGACCGATCGTGAAAAATTTTTGAAATAGCATTAAGTGCTTTTTGCATTACAAAATAGTATTTATGAACAAAAATAGTATTTATTTATATCATTATTTGGTAATGAGTTATGTGCCTTTAAGTGTTTTTCTGAAAGGGACCTTGTATGGGAGCTATGATCAATTATGGATCGATAGGAAATCAATTTCATAGTAATATTTCTCTGTATATGAGCAATATTTTTGCCAAACTTTATATGGATATCTTAATTTAGTAAAGAGTTATGTGCGTTTAAGTGATTTTCGGGAGGTGACCTTGTATGGGAGCTATGACCAGTTATGGACCGATCGGAAAAAAAATTATCTGTAATATTTCTGTGCATATGAGTAATATTTGTACCATATGGGTATCTTAATTACGTAATGAGTTATGCGCGTTTAAGTGATTTTCGGGAGGGGACCTTGTATGAGAGCTATGACCAACTATGGACCGATCGAAAAAAATTTTCACAGTAATATTTCTGTGCATATGAGTAATACTTGTGCCAAATTTTATATTGATATCTTAATTTAGTAATGAGTTATGCGCGTTTAAGTGATTTTCGGGAGGGGACCTTGTATGGGAGCTATGACCAATTATGGCCCGATCGGAAAAAAATTTCACAGTAATATTTCTGTGCATATGAGTAATACTTGTACCATGGATATCTTAATTTAGTAATGTGTTATGCGCGTTTAAGTGATTTTCGAGAGGGGACCTTGTATGGGAGCTATGACCAATTATGGACCGATCGGAAAAAAATTTCACAGTAATATTTCTATGCATATGGGCAATAATTATACCAAATTTTATTTCGATATCTTAATTTAGTAATGAGTTATGCGCGTTTAAGTGATTTTCGGGAGGGGACCTTGTATGGGAGCTATGACCAATTATGGACCGATCGGAAAAAACTTTCACAGTAATATTTCTATGCATATGGGCAATACTTACACCAAATTTTATTTGGATATCTTAATTTAGTAATGAGTTATGCGCGTTTAAGTGATTTTCGGGAGGGGACCTTGTATGGGAGCTATGACCAATTATGGACCGATCGGAAAAAAATTTCACAACAATATTTCTGTGCATATGAGTAATATTTGTACCAAATTTTATATGGATATCTTAATTTAGTTATGAGTTAAGCGCGTTTAAGTGATTCTAGGGAGGGGACCTTGTATGGGAGCTATGACCACTTATGGACCGATCGGAAAAAAAATTATCTGTAATATTTCTGTGCATATGAATAATATTTGTACCATATGGGTATCTTAATTACGTAATGAGTTACGCGCGTTTAAGTGATTTTCGGGAGGGGACCTTGTATGAGAGCTATGACCAATTATGGACCGATCGAAAAAAATTTTCGCAGTAATATTTCTGTGCATATGAGTAATACTTGTGCCAAATTTTATATTGATATCTTAATTTAGTAATGAGTTATGCGCGTTTAAGTGATTTTCGGGAGGGGACCTTGTATGGGAGCTATGACCAATTATGGCCCGATCGGAAAAAAATTTCACAGTAATATTTCTGTGCATATGAGTAATACTTGTACCATGGATATCTTAATTTAGTAATGTGTTATGCGCGTTTAAGTGATTTTCGAGAGGGGACCTTGTATGGGAGCTATGACCAATTATGGACCGATCGGAAAAAAATTTCACAGTAATATTTCTATGCATATGGGCAATACTTATACCAAATTTTATATGGATATCTTAATTTAGTAATGAGTTATGCGCGTTTAAGTGATTTTCGGGAGGGGACCTTGTAAGGGAGCTATGTTCAATTATGGACCGATCCATAAAATTTTTCCTCTGAAAGAATTCTATTGACACAAGATTTTATTTTGTAAAATTTTGTGAAAACCCATTTTCCGGGAATATGTACTTTTGTATGGGAGGTATATGAAATTGTGGACCGATTCCGGCAATTTTCCTTGTGCAGAAACGAATGTATGATAATTTCCATGGAATTATCTTGCATAGTTTTCGAGAAAACTACATCAGAATGTGTAAAAAATGCTTATTTTTTTCCGAGGTTGTTTTAAATTTTGATTCATAACTTTTCCCGGTGTGAACCGATTTTGCCCATTTGCAATACCAAACAACATAGGAAAATGAAGAACATTTTGGATGAATTTGGTTAAGCTCTATTGCTTCGTTTTATCGTGAGCGTGTTTTACACAGACAGACGGACAGACGGACATAGCTAAATCGACTCAGAATTTGATAAGGACCCAGAATATATATACTTTGTTGGGTCTCAGATGAATATTTCTTGGTGTTACACACGGAATGACAAAGTTTATATACCCTCTATCACCACTGATGGTGGTGGAGGGTATAATAAAAAGTATAAAACTAACTAACTAACTAACTAACTAACTAACTAACTAAACGAACGAACGAAAAAAAACGAAACGAAAACGAACGAAACGAACGAACGAAACGAAAGAACGAAACGAACGAACGAACGAACGAACGAACGAACGAACGAACGAACGAACAACGAAGAACGAACGAACGAACGAACGAACGAACGAACTAACGAACGAACGAACGAACGAACGAACGAACTAACGAAACGAACTAACGAACGAACGAACGAAAGAACGAACGAACGAACGAACGAACGAACGAACGAACTAACGAACGAACGAACGAACGAACGAACGAAAGAACGAACGAAACGAACGAACGAACAAGAACGAATAACAATAACTACGAACAACTAACTAACTAACTAACTAACGAAGAAATAACTAACTAACTACCTAACTAACTACTAACTAACTAACTAACTAACTAACTAACTAACTAACTAACTAAACTAACTAACTAACTAACTAACTAACTAACTAACTAACTAACTAACTAACTAACTAACTACTAACTACACTAACTAACTAACTAACTAACTAACTAACTAACTAACTAACTAACTAACTAACTAACTAACTAACTACTAACTAACTAACTAACTAACTAACTAACTAACTAACTAACTAACTAACTAATAACTAACTAACTAACTAACTAACTAACTACTAACTAACTAACTAACTAACTAACTAACTAACTAACTAACTAACTAACTAACTATCTGTTAGAATTTCATCATGATACTAATGTTTATATGTAAGTGAATTATGGACTTTCAAGGGGACTTTGTGTGGGTGCTTTGGCCCGATCAAAAAACAAAGTTGTACCGATTTTTTTTTAGAGATACTACATTATTTAACATAATTATCAGCTCAAGAGCTTTATTCGGGGGGTAAGAATTTAGCCAGTTTTAATCATGATTGGGCCAAGAGAAAAGCATGTGCCAAATTTTATAAAATTGTTTTGAAAGTTGTGACCTATAGGGTGCGCAAAAGGTTTACATGAACACACACACACACGCCAGACGGACGGACTGATGGACTGACGGACATAGCTTAGACTCAGAAAGTTATTCTGTTACAAACATCAGCACAAACGCCTAATATTCTTCCCACTATAGTAGTGTAGGACATAATTATTTAAGCAATCGTTTAAAAAAAATGTTCTTGAAGGAATAAAGTTTGTATACCCACAATCCAAATATAGGGGGGTAATATTGATGTTGTCATCTCGTTTGTAACAAATCGAAATATTACAAAAATATATAATTTTATGTATGCTTAAAAATGTTTTCATGAAAGAGAGACACACCAAAATAAAGAGCATTTAATGAGAATATTAAAATCGAAAGCGATTAAAGTAAATAAAATAAAACTGAAGTCAAAATTATCAACACTTGTGGATTTAATCATACAATAGTATGACTAAGCTCAGACTGTCTGTAATACAATGAGCAACAAGTGTTTATACAACTACGCTGCAGTGTTGCTGAAAATAAAATCATAAATTGTGCAATTTGTATAATTTAATTATCAAACTAAATATACCTTTGATCTATTTAGAAGTCTTTAAGTGCTTTTGCTTTAATCATCAATCATCTTTACAATTTGCTATTTATTTTACCACAACTGTAGGACATAAACTGGTCAGAAATTATCAAAACAAACAAACAAAAAAGTAAATACAATCTCTTTATTTATTTATTTGCTTTTTTGCGATGCAGTTTTATTATTATTTATAGTTTTTTTCACAAAACAGAACATTTTATTGAAAACTTGTAAATATGAAACCTAATCAACCATCCATCAAATACTTACACTAATCATATTTAATTGATACAACTCCCTCCACTTTCCTCAACTCAACACCAACAAAATCACAAATTAAATAGCAGCAAATAAGTTTATTGACTTTAAATTGTGTGTTAAATTACTTTAAACTAATGGATTGAGTTTATCAAAATTTTAGATTATCTGATAATTAAAATGAGCTAATCTCTCCTAAGGCAAGATTACAAAACAAGTGGTCAATCAAATTGGAAAAAATGCATGCAATCGATAAGAATATGAATTTAAACTCCTGCTAATCTACAAGTCTGAAAAGTACATACAAAGAAAAAAAAACTAAAACAATTTGTATTTGTTTTTTTATTCAATTTAACAGTCGAACAAAATGTTGCCGGTATTGACACAGTCACAGTGTAGCTGTCAACGAGTAAGCTAGGGTCTGAGCGTGAACGCTTATAGTGTGTGTTATTGTGATTGTTGTCAAAACATTGTCGTAGGCCAGAACACTACACATAGAGACCATTTGAATTGTAAAGTTAACAGCGTCAAGATGTGTTGTCGCTGCTGTGGTGAAACCCAACAAAAAATATGGGTATTTGGTTTGGGGTCACTATTTATAATCTCCGGTTTGGTGTGCACTCTCTGGTGGCCTTCGTTTGCTGAGGATATGATTTATAAGGTACATTTAAATTAGGAGGAAAAATAAACTTTCTATTTTGCCCTATATTTTCTCAATATTTATATATCGAATAATTTGTTTACCTTTTTTTTAGACTCTGGCCCTTAAAGATGGTGGTCTAACTTATGACAAATGGTCTGTTACACCTATACCCGTTTATCTACACATGTATCTCTTTAACTGGACTAATCCGGAACAGGTGCGCGTGGCTGGTGTTAAACCTCATTTCGATCGTGTCGGTCCGTATGTTTTCCGTGAGGATAAAATCAAAAAGAATATTACCTGGTATCCCAATAATACTGTTTCATTTCGACCTGAACGTACGTGGTTTTTTGAACCCGAAATGTCTGGCGGTACTTTAGAGGATTTAATTACTTGTCCGCATTTGCCCTCAATTGTAAGTAAGAATGTATTTTTAAGTGATTTTTGGAAAAAAAGGGATTTTATGTGAAAATATGAATCAATGGACTTTAGGCAGTGAGATTTTTTTTTGAAGACGCACGTCTGTTAGTTTGGAAAGGTAGACCCATACCACTTTCAAAAATAGCGGTTAATATGTACTAGCCCATATATTAAATAGTCATTAGATCAATCTTTGGACTAACCAATTAATAAGTCCATTTAGTCAATAGGATGGTCCATAGTCTATTGACTTGATTAGAGTAGACTAGACAGTATATTGCCTCTCTATGGACTGGACCATAGATAAGTCTATAGAAAATTATTTAGTCTATGGACTAGTCTATATGCTAGACAATTGACTACTCTATAGAATAAACTAGTAAGTAGACCATAGACTAGTCTATAGATTAGATAACAGACTACCCTATAAACCAGAAAACTGACTAGTTTAGAGATTGGACCTTCGAGTAGTATATATAATAGAAAACTAGTCAATAGACTAGATAATCTATTGTCTTTTATGGACTAAACAATAGAGTAAGTATTCTATAAACTAGACCATTACCTATTCTATAGAATAAACTAGTCTGCATTCTAACTCATAGACTTGTCTATATACTAGACAGAAGACTGCTCTATAGACCTGACAACAGACTAATCTATAGATTAGACATTCGTAGGTTCAAAGGTTAATTCTTATTCCCTAGACTAGTTAATACACTAAACTATAGAAAAGTCAGTTTACAAGTCCATGGAATATACCAACATAAATTGAAAGCAAACTTTGGAAAACGGTCTTTATGGATCAGTATTTTCATACATTAATTTATGCCGACATTTACTATCATATCCAAAACGATATCCACCAAGCAACATTAAAGGACTAAACCAAGCAACACATTACTGCGACGGCTACTTCTATGGACTAAGCCAACTATATTCTTCATTTCGCGCTCTGGCGTATTTGTACAAAACATACGAATAGACAGACGGACATTTCTAGGAAGTTTTAGAATTTAGTCATTACGAATATCTCTTTGGGGAAGGTATATTATAGTATGTATACCAATTAGCATAGAATTATTTTTGCCCCGATTTTGCTATATCCGTCCGTCCATGTAAACCATGTAAAGAAACTGTGCCTCGCAAATTGGAATGTAATTGAAGGTGCTACCAGCACATCTAATCTGCCGGGACTATAAATGTATTCTTGGTCCTTCCTTGAAATAATTTGACATCAGATCGAACCAGAGAACCACATAATCTTGTACCACGGGAACCGGCAGCCCGCAGATCAGAGTTTCGGACTTTGTCTTGTCCTTGTTATTGGAGAGGTCCCTTCGGGGTGCACGTGATAGCTGTGGTTTAATCCCAAATTCGGTTAAAAGACTGACGCATGGTATAACTTAGTTCGGTGATGTTGCCGAGACAACAGATACCCCAAAGAGGAGTGATTGTGGAACTAAGCGTAGGAAATGAGTTAGTTTTAAGTGTATATGATACAGGATGAATGTATCTATGATGTTGTTCGAATGAGTAAGAAGTGTTTGAAAGGTAATGGATGAAATATATCTCATACAAGTGATACCATTGAATTTTCCTTTCTTGTTCAGGTATGTTTAGGGTTAAATCTAATCATACCAAATTTACCACAATGTGTTCTTTGTGAGTAAGAACAAGTCCTCGGATCATTTGATTCGTGTTTCGCTCTATCGAATACGTTTCTAGGTGTTGTTGGTGAATCAACAAAAGCGATCCCATTTGTGTGGTTGTAAACGGAAATGATGTTTTTGCATCTCGATCAGAGATTAGTCCTTGTACATGGACCGACAGAACCATTTCACCGGCGAGTAGGAAACACAAAGCGGAAACACGGAGGTACTCACGTAAAGTACTTTCACATCTTGTACCAGGAACGAAGACTATTAAAAATTGGTATAAAGAGTACGATTATTTCGCCTACCCATCATACAACAGCCCAGTTAAAGACTTTACTAACGAATCAATTGAAAAAGTTTACGATATGGTGTTTGCCGATCGGACATTGTAAGTGGGATAGATTGTCGAGCCCCACTTACAACGAGAAACCTATCTTTAAGACCACGAGAATTTTCATTTCTTGGAATTGATATAAAAGTTTTAGAAAAAAAGTTTGACAAAGTGTAAAGGAGCATACAATTGGCACGATAGTATGACCTAGGACCTAGTTGTACTTCTTCAGATCCCTTTAAAACCCTTTGTACTTCTTCAGATCCCTTTAAAAAGCAAGATTTCTGTGACTATGATTATTATTTACATTAAAAGAATTCGCAATTAATTAACCTAGAAATTATTTCTGAATTGACAAACAGATGCTAGTTTTAAAAATATTTATTATAACGTTTTTTAATATTCACAACACTTTATCAAACTAACCCCATAATAAAAATATGTCTGATAATAATTAATCCATACTAAAAAAGTGAATATACATATAACTAAGCAATTTAGTTACTGATAACCATTATTAATCATTTATTGTAATGCATTTATGGAAAAATTTATAAAGAATATTTAAAATTCTATTTATATTAGTATTTAAAAAATAATTTAATTTTCTTTCTTATCATTAGGCCGCTTCAAATGCCGCTCGTAGTTTTAACAAACTCATAAAGTTCTTTTTCAACGTTGCACTCAACACTAACGGGGGCGCCCTTTATCAAACCCACACTGCCAATGAATGGTTGTTTGAAGGCTTCTACGATGAATTCCTTGATTATGCTATGAAACTTAATAATTCTGAAACTGCTCATATAAAATCGAATCGTTTTGCTTGGTTCTTAGATCGTAATGGTACATCCGATTTTGAGGGAACATTTACCATTAATACGGGAGCGGAAGATTTACGTGAAATGGGTGAATTGAAATTTTGGAATGGACAAAATCATACGGGCTATTTTGAGGGTGATTGTGGTAAGGTGAATGGCAGCACAGCGGATTTGTTTGTGCCGAAAAGAGCTTCAGATGAATGGATCACTATATTTATAAGAGACACTTGTCGTATTATTAATTTGGTGCCAGTGGGTAATGATGTTATAGAGGGCATAGAGGCCATACGCTATGAAACTCAACCCGATACATATGACAGTGGTGAAAGGAATCCGGATATGAAATGTTATTGTCCCAAAGAAAGACAACCAGATAATTGTCCTAAGCCGGGTATGACTGATATTGGCCCGTGTTCTGAAGGTGCTCCCATGTATATGTCTCACGCTAATTTCATGTATGCTGATCCCAGTTATCAAGATACCATCACTGGCACAGTGCCAGATCCGAAAAATGATATATTTTTCATAACCATGGAGCCAAGATTGGGAGTACCATTGGAAGTGAATGCAGCTGTACAAGTTAGTTTATTCATACAACCCGACAATGATATAACGTAAGTTAAATTAATGCATAAAAGTCAATATAACTAAAATAATATTATAATTTATTTTTAGAATACTAAAAAATATTCACACCTTTTATGCGCCCATGTTTGTGATAAACAGTAAAGCCAGAATTACTAAAGAAGTAGCCGGTGAAGTTAAGGTAAAGATACACTTTTTATTATATGAAGTTCATAAGATAAATTTATTTAATTTTCCAGCTGGCCTTAAGTCTTCCCGATATCGGTTTCTATATGGGCATTGCTTTCCTCTGCATAGGAGCTCTTATGTATGCCACCGGTTTTTATCTCTCCTGTACCAACAAATGGTATAAACCCAAAACAGATGAAAGAAATTTAATTAAAGAAGCCCCAACACATTAGGTCATCAAAAAGATGTACTGAAATGTACCTGTCCATCTAGGAAGTCTCTCTGTCTTCATCAATGAGAACAAATCTTATAGTTTTAAGTTAGAGCAATAAGTATTAGTTATTGAATTTTTATATAAATAACAAAACGAAACAATGAAATTATTTAATAAAATCTATAAGAAAATATTAGACAACTACCTAAAAAAAAAAAAAACTGTTTCAGAATACAGAAATCGTTATAAAATTAAGTTTATTTACCAAATACGGGACAAAGTCGAGAAATAAAAGCACTTACACAGACCATTTCAATCAGAAATTGGCAACTACAAATCCCGCTATTGAAAATTAAGTTTTAAAAATTTCAGAAATTACGATTTTTAGTTTTTTTTTAGCAATGACATCTATACCGGGAACGGGATTATCGAAACCCTTTAACAAATTATGAAGAAATATAGGAACATCCAAAATGGGATGGAATTTTTGACCGAACAATGAATTTCGCTAAAAAATAGAGATTTGTGATGCACCTGATAACCAATGTTAGTTAGTTAGTTGTAGTTAGTAGTAGTAGTTAGTTAGTTAGTTAGTTAGTTATTAGTTAGTTAGTTAGTTATGTTGTTAGTTAGTAGTTAGTGTAGTTAGTTAGTTAGTTAGTCGTTAGTTAGTTAGTTAGTTAGTTCGTTAGTTAGTTAGTTAGTTAGTAGTTAGTTAGTTGTAGTTAGTTAGTAGTTAGTTAGTTATGTTAGTTAGTTAGTTCGTTAGTTTTCGTTAGTTAGTTAGTTAGTTAGTTAGTAGTTAGTTAGTTAGTTAGTTAGTTAGTAGTAGTTAGTTAGTTAGTTAGTTAGTTAGTAGTTAGTTAGTTAGTTAGTTAGTTAGTTAGTTAGTTAGTTAGTTTAGAGTTAGTTAGTTTAGTTAGTTAGTTAGTAGTAGTTAGTTAGTTAGTTAGTTAGTTAGTTAGTTAGTTAGTTAGTTAGTTAGTTAGTAGTTAGTTAGTTAGTTAGTTAGTTAGTTAGTTAGTAGTTAGTTAGTTAGTAGTTAGTTAGTTAGTTAGTTAGTTAGTTAGTAGTTAGTTAGTTAGTTAGTAGTTAGTAGTAGTTAGTTAGTTAGTTAGTTAGTTAGTAGTTAGTTAGTTAGTAGTTAGTTTAGTTAGTAGTTAGTTAGTTAGTAGTTAAGTTTTAGTTTTAGTTAGTAGTTAGTTAGTTAGTTAGTAGTTAGTAGTTAGTTAGTTAGTTAGTTAGTTAGTTAGTTAGTTAGTTAGTAGTTAGTTAGTTAGTTTAGTTAGTTAGTTAGTTAGTAGTTAGTTAGTTAGTAGTTAGTTAGTTAGTTAGTTAGTTAGTTAGTTAGTTAGTAGTTAGTTAGTTAGTTAGTTAGTTAGTAGTTAGTTAGTTAGTTAGTTAGTTAGTTAGTTAGTTAGTTAGTATAGTTAGTTAGTTAGTTAGTAGTTAGTTAGTTAGTTAGTTAGTTAGTTAGTTAGTTAGTTAGTTAGTTAGTTAGTAGTTAGTTAGTTAGTAGTTAGTTAGTTAGTTAGTTAGTTAGTAGTTAGTTAGTTAGTTAGTTAGTTAATTAATTAATTAATTAATTAATTAATTAGTGGTAACAGACTTTAAATAATTAATTAATTAATTAATTAATTAGTGGTAACAGACTTTAAATTCCTCTGGAACACTGATTAGAAAATTCCAAAGAACTTCGTACAGACAACTAAGTTTGGGAACATTGTTTGCTAATTTCTTTTATCAATCGTTATATAAGGTTTTTCCACCTTAATTCCTATTTATCTAAGCAATTAGCAACTGAAACCCCGATTTCCTAAAAGAGTTTTTTAATTCAGCGCTAGGAATAGATATAGGCGATAGTTCTTTATGTGGACATAAAAGATAAGAAAAATTTTAAGGTGGGTGGGTGCAGCACCGGTATTTAGACCAATTACTACTTGTCATCAAGACAAATCCTTATTCCACTATAGTGTCAAAGCATGATTTTAAAATAAACTTCTACTATTTTTTTTAATCTGTGAAATTACTCACTTTCGAAAATCACTTCTTCATATTAGGATGATGAGTAAGTAACTCTCTCTTGCTCTCTCCCTCTCTTACTTGTTTTTTATAAAACTAATTTAACGTTAAGCAATTAGAGATAATGTAAAGTTCTAAGAATGTTGTAATTGAGACTGATTTGAGAATTGGTTAAACTCGTAATTAACATGCTCTTTGATGCATTATTCGGAAAGGTTATTTATATGAGTTCTACACAAATTTACTGGGTCAAAATATAAAGAGATTCTAGCAACAATATTTGCTTATCAACAAGTTGTTAGACTATTGAAATCTTTATTAAATAGAAGTGATTTTTTCTTCTAAAATTTGAGAACAAGATTTTTATTATTATTTTATAGGAAACATGGATCACAGATTAGTTCGTAGTATTACATTAATATATGACAAGGAGAAAGTATCCCACATAAAATATTGATTTAATGTAATTTTTAAAGATTTAAAATAAATTTTTTTAATACAAAATTTTGAAATCTTATAATATAATCATTTCCTGGGGTATATAATATCATATGAAATATTAGCCTAAGTCAACAAATACACATACTTTCAAGAACTATGATTCATTTAGTTTATTATCTAGCGATAACATTTCCTCAATTTTGTTGGACAAATGGAAATTTTAAATAAAACTTTACAGAATACTTTTTTAGACATTCATTAGACAACATTCCCCTGCTTGAAACAATCATCAATAGTTAATGACTAAAGACAAACCGCTTTGTTGTATTAATTTTTTAATTGATGGAATTGATTGAAATAATTTATCTATAGAATAGAATTTTTCTTAAATAACTAGTTGCTAAGATTTCTTTATTTTTGTTTTAGTTGTGATTCGCTTGCAAAACATAAAAAAAAACTGATGCACAACATCAACGAAACTGATGAAAAATTAAAACAAAAGTTGTTAACATTAATTAAAATGTTGAAAAAAGTGCATTTCTTAGTTAAGCTTTAAGTAATAAATGACGTCAATCAACTGCTTTTTTGATTTTATAGAATGAAAACTGTTAAAATTGAGATTGTGGCACATAAAACTGTTTTGAGCGAATAAAGTCAAGATCATTTCACAATTGCATTAAATAGTTTAAAATTTAAATGTCATGATGAAATGTATATATTTTTGTTGTACATATTCGGTAAGTTTTAAGTTTGTGGGAAAGATCTTTTTTTATACCTACACCACTATAGTGGTGTGCTGATGTTTGTAACACCCAAAAATATTGTTCCTACACCCACCTTAAAGTAGTCCAATCGGCTCAGCATCACTTTCTGAGACTATTAAGCTATGTCCGTCTGTGTGACCATGTAATGTGGCCACAATATATCCCCTCTTTCTGGCAACAAATTGATAAAACATTTCGGAGCGGTGGTATTTATTTTTTGTTTGTGGGGGTACTTTCACTTGTGCAAACTCATAAATTTTATTTATTTAGAATTGCTTTTGAAATTGTTGCGTTTATTATCGTTGTTATTGTTGCTGTTATTGATTCTATTAATCTTATCAGCGCATTTAAACGTAAAACACCTGAAGTGTAAATTCAATAATTTTCTGATTAATTTGACAATTATTTGTGGATTATAAAAGCATATATGGATATAGTGACCACTATAGTGTGTCAGGGTAATATGGGTTTATGTTAATGTTTGTAACGGCCCAAAGTATTGGTCATACACTCCATCTTAAAACCGATTTTGCTATGTATGGCTGTCTGTTCATTCATCTTTTTAATAAATCTACATTTTTAAAAATAATTCAAGGAAATTTAATACGTGAACTTCTATTGCACCAAGGATGGAAGGATGGTCCATATTTGACTCTAAATCCGATCCATAAACAACTTCAACGTCTACAATTAACTTATAAACACCTATATATCAATGAAATTCGACATAAATAAACATAAATTTAACAAATTTCATTTGGATCGGCTCCCATATAAAACCATTTCCGGATGATCACTTTTCATCAACAAATTGTTTAAATGTATCGAAATTAAGCTTAAATTTAATTTAACGTTTTTATTTACAAAAAATAAATAAATTTTTAAAATTATTCATAACTGTTGTAGGATATCATATGGCCGACTATACTTTATTATTTGTTTTTTTGTCGAATTTAAATTTATTTTTAACTTATAGCGATAATTTAAATTAATAAAAAATTTTATATTACGCCTATGGTTAATATACATAAGTGATAAAGTAGTTGCAAAAATTGTGTTTATTGCAAAAAAGAAATATATATAATAAGATTTATGAAACTGCAAAAAGGCATTTTTTCTTAATTTTTGCCGCATTTGCCTTAAGGTGATGTTCACGTTATGACATGTACTACTTAATAACATAACTTACAGTGACTATTACATATTGCCTACATTACCTTTAAGTAAGAGTACTTAAAAGGGCGTAACAACCAAAAAATTTCAAAATTGCCCGCCGTGTTAAAACAAGTAAGAATGTGATAGTATGTTAAATATGTGGATCACTTTTTTAATATTAAATCTTTTAATTTGTTTTCTTACCTTAATTCAGAAATATTTTAACAATTTGTTTACAAAAAAAAAAAAAAAAAAATTTCTATACGTGGTGTTATAGAATAAATATGGGCCTATCCGTATAAATTTTAGTAGAGGGATTTTTGTCCATATTAAAGTTATTCATGCAGAATCATCATTGCGAAAATTAGTAGTATCCTTTAGACTTATATGAAACTAAGTTTTGTCGATTTCCCTAGACATACAAGAATATTTAACACAAAAGCCCTATTTAGGTGGTATGGTTGTATGGGGCTAGACGAAATAACTGACCGATTTTAAGCATTTTCAATATGCTAGAGTCAAAAGAAGAATATGTGCCAAATTTCATCAAATTATCTTTAAAATTGCGACCAGTAGCGTGCGCACCAGGTTTACATGGCTACACAGACGGACGGACATAGGTAAATCTACTCAGAGAGTGATTCTGAGCCGATTGGTATGCTTTGCAATGCTTAAGTAATGAAAAGTGGTTGAATTCATAACTTTTCAATTTAAGTTTTTGCTGAGGTATAATTTGTTATTTAAACGTTGAATTGATTGATTACTTTGTACTGTAAATTCCAAAGTAGTTAGTCACTACACAGAGGGAAAAAGATATATACACGCCTGTTACCAAACTGATACCAAACTGTTTATTATGTATTTTTCAATAACATCCGTTGTCAAAGTATATATATACATACGTACGACAACTCTATATAATGGTGACAACATTGCAACAATTCGTTGTCGAAATCTAAATTTTATACACTTCCGTTGTCTAAATGTTAACAAACGTGGTAAGTTCACTATTGACAAACAATCCATTCAGAAAAATGGTATCACTTCCCAGGTATTTATTTTTGTCGCATAGTGCTATCAATATGAATAGATGATTTGTTTTTTTTTTTTTTTGCAGTATCACATGTATATCGTCGATCAGAGGAATTAGGGACTTTAATAAGGGCTTATACTTCCTATATATCTCTGAAAAGACTTATATAGAAAGTATGATAAATTGTGGACCGATTCTCATAGAATTATGTAAAAGTACTGGTATTTTTAACCAATAATGATCGTTAAAGTCATTTCCTGAAGGGGATTTTCTGTTGGAGGTAAAGTCAATTATAAACTGATCCTCATAAAATGTTTTAAAATGATTTGGCTCCTATAAAGCTAGCTTATGTCGCATAGCTTTTTTAAGTCAGCTATGAGCGCTGATGTAATTTTCTAAAGAAAACCGATTTTGCTGATTTTTAGTACCAAAGAATAATGTTAATTTCTATTGCCGTGTTTTATCATGAGAGTGTTTTACAAAGACAGATATATCTAAAGCGAATCAGAAAATTCTAAAGACCGAGAAAATATACATATAATTTGAAAGATGGCAGATGAATATTTATTTCGCAATGTTGTGTGTATGATAAAAAACATAACGGATTTTCAAAAAAGTATCAAAATATTGTACTAACCTTATCAATCTCTTATTGGGGAGACCAGACCATATACTATTGCAAATTTTGAAAAATGTTTGATATTTTCTTATCTTACGTACTAACAAACATACATAAGTATGTATGTACTATGTAGATAAATATAAGAAATTAATTGCATACTTAATGTTTCTTTGTTTTTGTTTATTTATAGTCTAGTACATATTCCATTAAAATGTTAATAACAAAAATCTCTTTTCAATTTCTATTGCAATATTGTTTAGAGATTATACATTGAGGCTTTAATAACTTTTGGAAATTAAGTTAGTTGACTGCAGTTACTTTAGTCTAAAACATATAATTTTAAAAAATAACAATAAAGGAACCAATTGGCGTATTAATAACTACTTTTCTACATATAGATCTTAATGGAAATAGAATATAGATTTGAAAACCATAGGAAAAATATATTGTTACAATATTGTATAAAATGTGTTGCAAATGTTGCAGTGTTAAACAGCAAAAAATATGTGTGTTCAGTGTGGGTATATTGTTAATGATTCTGGGAGTTGTACTAATAACTGCTTCGCCTACACTGTCAGAGCAATTTGTATACTCGGTAAGCAATGTGTTCAGATATAACTGATCTTATACAACTGTAAATTGCGCCTCTCTATTGCACTTTGTCATTACACACAATATTGCTTTTACATGTCTCTCTCTCTCTTTCATTCTGACCAATTTATAAAATAGAGAGTTTTTTGTAATAACTGTTATTGTCTCTCAATTGCATTTTTGTACTGTTTAGCTGATTGTGCTATTTTTCTCTTGTATTATTCTAAGGAAATTGAATTAATAGAGAAAGAGCTTGATTGACAAATTGATTTTGTTTAATGCGTTCAGATGTCTCTCTCTCTCTTTCTCTTTAAGCATCTGATGAAACTAAAGTAAAATAGATGTATCCATTATAATAAATTTACTACCATTATTCTTTAGATGTTACCTCTCAGTCCAGATTCCTTTATGTTTTCGAAATGGGTGATCACGCCCGTGCCCTTATACCTTAGCTTTTATCTATACAATTGGACAAATCCACATTTGGTGAATGATACAAAAGTGAAACCAAATTTTGTAGAAATGGGTCCATATGTGTTTCGGGAAATGAAAGTGAAAGAAGATTTGCATTGGGACAACAATGAAAATTTGGTTACCTACTATGGACGTCGTACATGGTATTTTGAGGCCTCCAAATCGAATGGTTCATTGGATGACATGATAACGGCACCACATTTGCCTACAGTGGTAGGAAGATTTTCTGAAAATATCAAACTAAATAAAATAAAGAATCTAATTTAACTTCTATTCCAGGCTGGAGCAAAAATTTTTCGCAATGCTCATCCAGTTACACGTAAAATTCTTAACTATTGTCTCAATCGTGAGGGTGGTAAATTGTTTATGACTCATAAGCCTCTCGATTGGATATTTAATGGTATTTATGATGACATTATGGATTTTGGTGAACGTCTACATTCGCCCAGAATAGTGGTAAAAGAAAATTATTTTGGTTATTTTTACAAACGTAACAATTCCAAAGAAGCTGAAGGTACTTTCAGCATAGACACTGGAAAAGGAGATATAACACGTTTGGGTGATTTACGATATTGGAATGGTTCGAATCATACTAGTTTCTGGGAAGGAGAATGCGGTCGTGTTAATGGTAGTACAGGAGAGATATGGGCTCCTGGTAAGAAATGGCATGAACCCGTAAGCATATTCTTATCAGATGCTGCCCGCTATGTTAATATTTATCCACAAACTAATGAAACCTACAAAGGTGTAAGTGCCCGTAGATATACTACCACTGAACTAACATTCGATAGTGGTTATATAGCAGAGGATACCAAATGTTTTTGTGTACCCGGCCGGGAATGTCCTAAAAATGGTGTAATTGATTATTCACGTGTAACATTTAAAGCTCCCGTTTATTTGTCACATCCTCATTTCTATATGGCCGATCCTTTATATCGTGAAAATACTACAGGTCTTAAGCCAGATCCGGAAAAGCATAGCACTTATCTGGTGTTAGAACCAAAATTAGGTATACCTTTAAATGCCAAAGGTCGGGTGCTTATAAGTGCTTTCGTGGAAAGAGATGAGAAAGTAGAGTAAGTAATTTTTTAATAATTAATTTTGTAATATTGTTTTAATTTGTTGTCTTTAATTTATAGTATTTTACGAGATTTAGCTTGGAATTTTTATGCTCCTCTATTTGCGACAGAAATGAGTGCTGAAATAACTGAAAATTTTTTAAGTATTGTTAAGGTATTTTTTGAAAAATTTAATTAAATTAATTTTACTCTTAACTATCATATGTTTTTAACGCACAAAAATATTGGCAGTTAGAATAACTTTTTATATACAAACAAAACTTATTAATTCCTCATTCGGAGTTAAACAGCACTGCACGTTCAAAGAGTAACATAACATCTTCTTAAAAACTTACTTTGAAAAAAAAGATATCTTCAGAGTCGGTAGTTATCTTAGATTCATAAAGCAATTCAGTTTTGTGTATACCAATTAGATTATATCGATTTAGTGAGTCCATCCGTTTGCCCATGTAATCACAGTACAGGTGACCTTTTTTATGATAATTAGAATTTTTGTATGTTATATCAAATCCGAAGAAAAACACCTCTATTGGGATCGCTTTTACATAAGCGTTTTCGGTAGGAATCGAACACACGATCACCGATCAGACAGACTAAAACACTAACTAAGGACTGAGTTAGAGCAAGTGAGAGTGTTATATTCGGGTGTGCCGAATCTCATATACCCAGCATCAAACCATATGCCCTAAAAGGAATGCTCCCCTATAAACATCAGGGTGATATTTCTGAATGTTTTTGTTCAAATTTTAAACCGTATGAGTAATGCGTCAATTATGAACCGTTACTCATAAAATTTTGTACATACATAGATTTTGTTTTGTGTAGAACATCGCTGTACTCGATTTCTGAATCCTCCTCATAAAATTTTCTTAATTATTGACCGATCTTCATAACCTTCTGTAGACCGATTTTGATTCATATAAAACTTGTTTACATCGTCGCTGTACTAGCATTTTTATGCCAGTAGTTAGTGTTAAAGTAATTTTATGAAGGGGTCTTATATGGGAGGTAGGGTGAGTTACCGACACATTCCGCAAGAAATTCGGTAGCAAGATTAACATTCGTCTACAAGTTTCTTATGTCGAATTTCATAACTCGTATTTTCAAGCCAGCAATAACCGTTTAAGTAATTTTCTGAAGGTGACCTTGTATGATCGTCATGGTTAGATCGTCTTAGAATTTAATAATACTTTTGTGGGTTCATGACCAATATTTCGATGTGTTATAAACGGAATGACAAAATCAATAACCATCCATCTTTTTTGATGGTGGGTATAAAAATTCTTCGAATGTTTCTTCGAAGGCAAGTCATTTGACCAATATTTCGATGTGTTACAAACGGAATGACAAAATCAATATACCCCCATCTTTTTTGATAGTGGGAATAAAAATTCTTCGAATGTTTCTTCGAAGACAAGCCATTTGAAGTTGTGGCAAAGGAAGCCAATCACTCGTGATATCAGGGTTGATAAACTCGTGATATCAGGGTTGATAAACAATAATGAACCGATATGATGGTAATATAATTTCCATACATTTTATATACATATCTCCAAAATTTAGTGGTGATACTGATATTCTTGATAAGTTTATTAACGATAAATCCATTTCGAGATTGGATTGATTTTGAACATAATTAATTCCTGGGCGATAAAAATGATATGTGACAAAATTCGTTGAATTATCGTTGGCAGTTTCTAAGAAAACTACTCGAGAATTAAGAAATCAAGATTTTTTTTATACCCACCATCAAAAAAGATGGCGGGTATATTGTTTTTGTCATTCCGTTTGTAACACATCGAAATATTCATCTAAGACCCATAAAAGTATATATATATTCTGGGTCCTTATTAAATTCTAAGACGATCTAGCCATGTCCGTCCATCTGTCTGTCTGTCTGTTGAGAACACGATAGAGTCCAAATAGAAGTAGCTAGGGAGCTAGATATTTTATATTGATGCAGTTTGTTTGGCATTGAAAATGGACAACATCGGTCCACGATTTCGCCTAGCCCTCTTACGAAGGGAAACCACGAAGCATTTCATGCAATGTACAACATTTTTCGTATATATTATGAATGGATTATTTTCAATTGAAATACCTTATTTAATTATTTCCAATATGTTTAAACAATTTATTGATGAAAATGTGACTTTCAAAAAGGTCCTTTATATGGGTTCTACAGTCAAAACCAAGACCTCCGTACCAGAACAATCATCTATCACAGAGCCACCCATTAAATTGCTAACTTATCAAATAACTAATTGTTCTATTTCAGTTAATTTTAAACTTGTCCCATATTGGTCAATATTGTGGCATTGCATTCACCATTTTGGGATTAATACTGATTTGTATTGGAATATATTTGACAAAAAAGCATAAATGGCATGGAGAGGATTTCTCAAAGGATAATTATAACAAATAGTATAAAAAACTAGATGTTAAATGTATGTATAAGTAAAATTTTTATATATTTAAAAGTGTAAATTAGCTAAAATATATTGAGTTTAAGTAAAACGTAAAATAAATCTTATTTCTTTAGATTTTAAAAAAATATTTATAATTAGAAAAATTTAATTTTTATAAATAATCATCAAATATTAAATTTATTAATATATTTTTTTTGAAACTAGTTTTGTTTCAATATCAAGTTATAAATTTTAAAATATTATTACATCATATTTGTTTAAAAAGTTTAAAAAAATCTATATAATTATCGCGACATTTTATTTATTTTTCTAAATACTTAAGTAATTCAATACTAACACATGACCTTTTTCGCATGCGATTTAATGCAAGTAATTTAATATTTAAACAAAAAATATATTTAGCAACAAGAAAAATAAACAACGAAAGCAACAACTTTTGACATTTTTGAAAAAAAAAAATAATTTAAAAATTTCCTTTATATTTAGAACAAAAGAAGTGAAAAGGTAACAAAATTTACTAACAGTTAAATATTTTCATCCAACTAAAGGTCTCATAACAAGTTGCTAAATAAATAAATTTATTATAATTGAACATGCAAACTTACGTTTTATATCAAAATTTATTTTTAAAATAAAGTAAAATGAAATGAAATTTTTCATTACTGTAAATAGTTATTAAAAAAAAAAAATAAAAAAAACTAATAATAATAAATAAGAAAAGTTAAATATAGTTTAACTGATGACATTTTCTAATCAAAATCAAAGAAACATTGGGTAAGGCCGACTATAGGATATCCTTAAACAATTTACATTAATAAGATTTGCGTCGATGTTTCGAAAGTCCTAGTATTGGAAAGATTTTGAACGCTCTTTTGGGTTGCATTAAACATATCAAAGTACTATCCACCACTGTAATGTTCTAGTGTAGTCCACTATAAAGTATACTCATACATACACATTTACTTATGTAAATATTACGAATAATTTTTATAAAAAATATTTTCTAAAATATGCATAATTTACACATCATATTTATATAACTAAATATATAAGTGTTTCTAGAAAGTGTTTAAAATTTACATATTATTTTCACATATTTTTCTTTACTGCAAATTATAAGAATTTCTTAAATAAATAAAATTGTGTATATTTTGTGTAAACATTTGTAAAAACTTAAATTAATAATAGTGATAATAATTGTTATCCATTTAGATCTTTAGGCATGTAAATGCACAATTTTTGAAATTCTTTTAGAATATTTACTAAAGTCCATATAGGAAATTTGTATAATTTTTAAATAAGATAATGAATATAAGTACTTTTCGGAATATCTCTAAGGTATCGTGGACTGTTAGAACACAATTTTATAGTGGATGAATTATATAAAGCTTAGAGATCAGCATGTATTGGCATAACAGATACTAAGTGACTTTATTCTATAATAAATCCAAAAAATACAGCTAGACCGTTATTGTGACTATTGTGTGCTGCTTCACGTGGAAAATTTTGGTGGGAAACTAATATAAAGGGATCTATGAAGGTATTATAGACCGATGTTTAGAAACTGAGTTTCCTAGATTCAATTCCTAAGAGTTTTTCAATCTGTATTCATGAGTTGTGAATAATATAGCTCCCAAGAATTTTGTATATAATTCGACGAAAGTTTGGCAATTACAAGTAGAATATTCCAGAGTTTCACTGTTGTCTCTACATGATCTGCATTCGACTGAATCCGTTCATCCAATTTTGTTCTGGCCGTTATCCCGTGTGTCCACCTAGAATACGTACCATCATACTAACCTCGAACTTGCTCATTCTTAGGAATCTACTCGCCTAGAATCTTATTGGTTCAACCCATCGTTTAATTATTCCGAATGGCCCTCTCTCTCTCTCTCTCTTCGTCGAAAAGTTATGCATTCGTCAGGTTAACTTTTTCGAGTATATTCGCTCTTTAGTTGCTGATTATAGATCAGCATGCATTGGCAGATACTGAGGGTCTTTATTCTATATCAAATCCGAAAAAATACGGCTAGACCATTATTGTGACTTTTGTGTGCACCTTCAGGTGGAAAATTTTGGTAAGAAAACTATATATAGGGATCTATAAAGGTATTATCGACCGATGTTTAGAAACTGAGTTTCCTAGATTTAATTCCTAAGAGTTTTTCAATCTGTGTTCGTGAGATATATTTTATAAGGAATTATAAAGCTCCCAAGATTTTTGGATCTAATTTAGATGAAAGTTTGGCAATCACAAGTAGAGTTGTTCCAGAGTTTCACTATTATCTCTACATGATCTACATTCGACTGAATCCGCTCGTACAATTTTGGTCTGTCCGTTATCCCGTGTGTCCACCTATAATACGTACTATCTCATACTAACCTCAGACTTGCTCATTCTGAGGAATCTACTCGTCTAGAATCTTTCTGGTTCAACCCATCGTTTAATTATTCCAAATGGTCCTCTCTCTTTTCATCGAAAAGTTATGCATTCGTCAGGTTAAATTTTTCGAGATCTCTTATCTTTAAAGCAAGTATATTCGCTCTTTAGCTGCTAATTAGAGTTCAACATGCATTGGCAGATACTGAGGGACTTTATTATATATCAAATCCGAAAAAATACAGCTAGACCGTTATTGTGCCTATTGTGTGCACCTTCCGGTGGAAAATTTTGGTGAGAAACCAATATTAAGGGATCTATGAAGGTATTACCGACCGATGTTTAGAAACTGAGTTTCCTAGATGTAATTCCTAAGAGTTTTTCAATCTGTGTTCGTGAGGTATGTTTTATAAGGAATTATAAAGCTCCCAAGATATTTGGATCTAATTTATATGAAAGTTTGGCAATCACAAGTAGAGTTGTTCCAGAGTTTCACTATTCTCTCTACATGATCTACATTCGACTGAATCCGCTAGTCTACCTAGAATATGTACCATCATACTAATCTTGAACTTGCTCATTCTAAAAAAGCTGCTCATCCTAGAATCTCGGTGGTTCAAGCCATCGTTTAACTATTCCAAATGGCCATCCCTCTCTCTCTTCGTCGAACAGTTTTGCATTCGTCAGGTTAACTTTTTGAGTTCCCTTACCTTTACGTGCTGTTTAGTGGCTGATTATTCACGAGTGACCTGGAACCCATTTACTTCTTGGATCAGCTAATGATATTTTAAAGTTCAAGATGTTCTTAGATTTAACCTTATAATAACTTTAACTCCTATTGTCGCCATATTTATTATAATCCCGTTTACATATTCCGTATATTTCTGTTTCTGGGTTTTTAATGTAATTTATTCCCAGTTCCAATGTTCCAATGTTCCCAATGTTCCACTTGACCATGATATTCTATCTGGGATCAGTGTTTCAAAGTTTCTGACCAGATGTCACATACCCTCCTATGTGGTATCTCCATTTTAACATTCGGTCAAGGATTACATCTAAATACTTAACTTTATCGGAAACCGGTATCTTCTTGCCAAGAAACAGGGTGGATTAGACTTTGGTATCACATAACTAAGTTTTTCAGGTTTGGGAATACACATTGCCCTTGTATCCTGTCATTTTATTGGCCTATGTGCGATAAATGTCGTAAAAATTTTTACTACTACTTTTTATGCAGCTGGTCTTCCTTCGTTCCCACCTTAGCTCCTTCTTCCTTCCTTTCTATCTTAGTTTGAGTACCTGCGCTTAGAAACAACTGCGGTAGTGAACTTTGAATATCTCTAACACGGTACGTCATGGACAGACGTACTTAATCGACTTCGAAAATGATTCTAAACCGTAGGCAAACTTTAGGTATAGGTCCATTCAATCCCAATTCTACCAAGTTCCCAATTTCGCAACTTTTAATGCAATTCCGGCAAGACTTTCCTTTTTCTGATTGAACTAAAATTTGGAAAACTAGACTACAGTGAGGAAATCATAATATCACTATTATTTACAATAATTTTTACTATAATAGTATTTGCATTTTTTTATTCCTATTAACGATAATTTCCTTTTGGGTTTAGTTTATTTAATTATTTTACTGTAGTAAAATAATCGAATAAAATTTACATGTGTAAATATTTATAAATAATAAACTCAAAAATCATAAAAAGAAAACACATTAAAATACATCCATAACTATGAAGCGTTAACATGAAGATAACAACACAATAGCTATAAAATTTACAATAAGACCGATATAAAAAATATTTAAATTAAAACAAAAACTTGAAAATTTTATTAAGGTTTGATTATAAATAAACTATTTAGTTGCAGTAAGAAAATTATGATGATTTGCATATTTAAAATTCATACAAAAGAAAACCAGTAAACAAATTTTTTTACTTTTTACAAAAATTAAACAGAAAATATGTATATTACATTTTATATTTGATATTTAGTTTAATATAGTTTGTGTAGAATAAAGATTATATTGCTCATTCATTACAATATTGGCAAAAATCCAATATTTTAGGTGCAGAATTATTGAAAACTAACCTTAAAAATGCACTGTATTTTTAAGCGAAAGTGTAAGAGCTTTCCCTCAATTTGCTTACACGATCTCTGATTGTTTTTATTTAGTTATTTAAATACGTGTGAAAGCAAGAGAACTTATGCATATGTATTTCTGAGTAGCAAATTAATAATTACCGTATTGAAGTAACAAATATTGCTATCGCAAATTTGTATATTTTTTCAATATAAACTTTGAATGTTTACTATGTTATTGGATTTCATGTTTTTGACATTTTACATGAATAATTTATAAATATTTATTGAAAATATTGCTTTTAATTGATTTTCTTTTCACCATATATTTTTTACTTGTAATAAACAACAAAAACAACAATAATATTAAAGTGACAAGAAAATGATAAAAATTAAACATCAACCACACCTTTATGAATATGATTAAATTATATTCATAATAAATCAATTTTAATCTTGAATATTAAAACAATTACATATAACAATTAGTAGAAATATGGGTGGTAGAGTACAATTATCTAATCAACTAACTAACTAACTAACTAACTACTAACTAACTAACTAACTAACTAACTAA